AGATTTGTATAAGAGGGAGAGAGACAGGTACTTTGGTTTATATACCAAACAAATGACCCATTGGGATCCCCATATCAAAACAACTTATCTTATTTATGTGTGGCCAGAATTTGAAAATAACATTTAACACAGCACAGTACTTAAGCAAAATGGTCCAGTTGAGAGCTGCATATGTAGGATTGATTGGGGTAGATTGCAGGGGTGACACCGAAATATAAATTTATCATTTTTTAATCTGTATCTTAAATTACTGTATTCTGTACTAATTTCATTTTAGACTTTATTTTATCCCAATTTCATTTTATTTTATTCCAATTTCATTTTAAATTGTATCTTAATCTAATTCCATTTTAAATTGCTTTTATCAAATTTTAGTAATAACTTGTTTCTGAAACTTTGCATTTTGATATGGTCCAAGGGCTAATCAATAAATATTTAAATAAATAAATAAATAAATATCCTAAATCTAGATGTAGTGATTGATTAATCATTACTTTTGACTGGCGTTGTGTGAACTTAGCCAGCTATACAATAAACATACTTTGACTCAATGTATGCTCTTTGGGATTGTGTGGTGACACACAGACAACAACACATATACGTATACCCACCCTTTGTGCCCCAATCAGTGTACACTTGACCTCCTGGCAGCGCAATAGAAAGCAATTAATATTGTTAGTTTCTGGGCAAAACCTGTTTCATTTGTATACATTTTAATCTTGTATTTTATATGTTTCTGACACAAACCAACCAACCAACTCAACGTATCACTTTAATCGTTGTCATTTCAATGCAAACTCTCTCAGTGGGCTGGAATTGCAACTTCCAGAGTTTGCTGCTTGAAAATTCTGGGTGTTTCGGTCCCATCCTTTTGGATGGGTATTTGGTGGACAAAAGCTGATATAACCCTATTGTCAATGCTGCTAACATCGGATGTTCTTGCTTTGACAATATATGAAGATGCAGCCAATTTCCCCTTAACTTGTGTGTTACTTTTAAGAGTTAGAATTAGATGATACTGGGGGGAAGGAGGAAGAATGTCTATGGGAATTAGTTAGACATAACAACATGTAGTAGAGTGTTTTTTAAGGTTGTTTGAAATAAGAGATGATAAGAAATGGCGGGTAGAAGAACTGGAGGGAAGGTCTGCATTTCAAACTAATTGGAGAATATGATTTATGACTGTTAATTAGAGGAGGGAATTGTGCTTTGATACTATGTGTTTAGGGGAGGAGAATTCAGATTTCGGCTTCGACCATGTATGTGCCGATGCATGCAACTTGAATAAAGATTCTTTAAGATAAACAATGCCTCGAAGTTCTTTGAAGACTTTCGTCTGTCGGAACCATGACACCTATTGGATTGCACTTGATTTAACACAGTCTGCACATTCACATTTGATGCTGTATGTGTCCACTCAGGAATAAAACCATACAGGTAGTCATGGACTTACATCATTTAGTGACCGTTCAAAGTTGCAGCAGCACTGAAAAAAGTGACTTAGGACCGTTTTTGACACAATCATTGCAGCATGACCCCATGATCAAAATTCAGACGCTTGGTAACTAGCTCATATTTATGACAGTCGCAGCATCCCGGGGTCCTGTGATCCCCTTTTGCAGCCTTCTGACAAGCAAAATCAATGGGGAAGCCAGATTTGCTTAATCACCACGTTACTAACTTTAACAATTACAGTGATTCACTTCACAACTATGGTCAAAAGTCCAGGGCTACTTTATTCCCAGTGAAAATGTGCTTGCATGCTAGCATCCTTTGGCGGAATCAAATATTAATTGACGTGGTTTATTTCCTTAAGCATTTATTTTTGCTTTTCACTTATTTTGTAATACTTTCTGCCTATGCCCCCCTAGGGCAGAAGCCATCCAAATTCTTTGTAGGCTTGGTACACCTCCCATCAGAATCCAGATGTCTACCATCAAAACCCCACCTTAGATCCTCTCTTATGTACCAACAATTATCAGGTTGTCTAAGATTCTCCCTTGGAAGCAGCCAATGAAGAACAAACAACCTCATGCTTTTGGTTTTAGATGTGACATCCACATGGTTCTAATCCTACAGTTTTCCTACTGGTTGGAATTGTGGCATGAGGAAAAGACAGCTGTTGTGAGTTGTTGACAGAAGAGCATCTGAGGTCACCAGCTAACGTATACCACTCTGAGAATCAGAAAAGGTTATAGAATGATATTTCCAAAAGCTCACTGTCCCACAATAGAACAGGATTAATTAGTTTAACAATCCCTGAGAGAGAGAGATGTGTGTGTGGCCCATTTTTAAAGCCTCTTAGTTGTGAGAAAAATAAAAGATTTTTTTTTAACGCAAAAGCCAAATGTTAAAGGTAGCATCGGGAGTTTTCAGATAAAAGCCAATTGCGTTTAGAAGATAAATTGTTTGACTTGCAAGGCCTATGTTAAATCTGGTTTGAGCTTTGACAGTTTCTTGATGATCCAATATTAATAAATAATTTTCAGATCTAAAAGCAGAAGCTGCCCAACATGTTATGCATATAAGATGAGCTCAGACCAAATATTTTTCTACTCCCAACATTTTTGGTCTGTTCACACAGCACATGAAATCAGAATATGTGTGTTATTTTTTTCCCCAATTTAAGCTGTTGTATAAATCCAGCAATTGTCCTACTTATAGTTTATGAATTCAGATTCCTTGGTTCAAGAAACCATGATTAAAATAAACCTTAATTCGGCATGATGCGTGAGCCCATTATCGATCTATCTAGTGAATAAGGCCCTGAAGTAATGACTCCCTAATTTTCTTTGCACAAACCTTAACCCTGTTTTAATGGGTCGCACAGTGTACTAAAACTATAAACTCACAATTTAGCCTTGGTTTTTTTTTTTAACTACCTCATCTGCTAAAATTGGCTTAGATAGTTTATGGCTGAGAATTTTGGGCAACTACAGCCTCTTGCATTGGTTTCAGAGGCTGAAAGCTCGGGCTTCTGCATCTAAAGCAGTGATTCTCAACCTTTTTAATGCCGCGACCCCCAACCGGTTGTAAGTCAAGGACTAAACCGGTCGTAAGTTGAGGACTAAACCGGTTGTACGTTAAGGACTAAACCGGTCGTAAGTCGAGGACTTTCCCTGCCCGGGAGCGCCACGCATGCGTGGTTCCGCCCTCTGCGCCGGCCGAGGCGTAGCTGGCAAGCGGCAGAGACGGAGCAGGCTGACCACCAGCTGGCCCAGCTCAAGGGAGGTATGGCACCCGCCGGAAAAGGGGAAAGAAAATGGCGGACAGCCTTGCTTGGTGACCCCCGTGAAATGGTCGATCAACCCCAAATGGGGTCGCGACCCATAGGTTGAGAACCGCTGATCTAAAGCATGGCTTGGGCAGACTGAAATGGATGCAGCCATCCATCTTTCACGCCATACAATACTTTTATTTCATCTTGTACCATCATAAATATGAGTCAGTTGTCCTTCTATTCTATGTTCTGTCTGGCTGTTAAAAATTCTCCTATCTTAATGCATGGCCGTGGTGGTGCAGTGGTTAGAATGCAGTGTTACAGGCTAACTTTGCTCACTGCCAGGAGTTCGATCCTGACCAACTCAAGGCTGACTCAGCCTTCCATCCTTCCGAGGTCGGTAAACTGAGGACCTGGATTGTTGGGGGCAATAGCTTGACTCTGTAAACCGCTTAGAGAGGATGGTAAGGCGCTGTGAAGTGGTATATAAGTCTACGTGCTATTGCATGATAATCTCGGTGGTGGTCTTCCATCAGAGCATGGGAGAGAAGAGTGGAGCTCTGATGTTTGCCTTCTGTCTCACTTTGTTTTCAGGGATGTTAACTGGGGAATTCTGTTAGAATAGGACTGGGGTGGGGGGAGAGATACATTATACTCCTCAACTTATGCCCACAATTGGGACCCAAACATCCATTGCCGAGCAATGTAGTTACTGAGTTGCACCTGATTTTACGACCTGTTCGGCTACAGTTGTTAAGCAAATCACTGTTAAATGAACCATGTGGTCGTTAAGCGAATCCATCTTCCCCCGTTGACTTTGCTTGTCAGAAGCTGGCTGGACAAGTTGAGGGTGGTGACCACATGACCTCCAGATAGCTGCAACTGTCCTAAATACATGCCAGTTGCCAAGTACCTAAGTTTTGATCACATGACCATGGGGATGTGGCAACAGTCATAAGTGCAAGCACCAGTTGTAAATCACTTTTTTCAATGCCGGTCGCTAAATAAATGTTTTTAAATCAAGGGCTACCTGTATTATATTTCTAGTCTACCTTGGACAAGAGAACTAAGAAAGCAAAGACTGAGGACTTCCCTCGGTGGGCACTGACTTCTTCAGCGCTCAATCTTCCATCTTGTTCCTTGATTTATAACCACCGGCAGCCATTAGGTTAAATCACCTGTAGGGTTGCCTTTATGAATATTGGGAACATCTCTGCTGTATTCCACTTATCTGTGGAGCCTAGAAGTGCTGTGGAATGATTTAACAGCTCCGGAGGCAGTTCAGGGATGGGTGAGACTAATACAATGAAATTTAATTCAGAGAGAGAGATTCTGTTGGTGGAGATTCTTCTAATCTGATCAAAGGGTCCTACTTACATGTGGAAAGGTACGTTGGGAAGCCATGAATCTCTTTGATTCCAGCTGGTTGTGACCTGAATCGTAAGCTTAAGTGCTTGTGACTGAATTTGCTCTTTTCTCTTTCTTCCCCATCACCTTCTCCTTGTCTGTCACATCTGTTAGGGTGTGAACATGGACTAGGGGTATTTGTAAAAGTGTGAACTAGACAGCAGGATAAAAATAGTTTAAATATCAGCATGCTAATCAAATGGGTACAAAGCCATACCTTCCTTCCTTCCTTTCATTCTTTCTTTCTTTCTTTCTTTCTTTCTTTTTTCTTTTTTAAAAAAGAATGGATTAGGAATTTTGCAACGAGCATGTTCAATGAAATTCTCCCGCCATGCAGTCATTAACCTCTCTCTTTTTCCCTGTCCTTCTTCAGGGGGGCTTTTTCCGTGGTGCGACGCTGTGTCAAACTTTGCACTGGACATGAATACGCAGCCAAGATTATCAACACCAAGAAGCTCTCAGCAAGAGGTAGGGGTTGGTTTCCTTCTCTCCGCAAAATGGCTGGGCTTTGCATATTTCTGCTCTAGAAGAATTCTGTGGTTTTGGTTCCCAGAGCTGCTGCCGTGTTTAAAGAGACACGCTCAACATGTGGAACGATGAGAAAATAGATTGGTAGTTTCTGGTGAACAAGGCAAAGCTGCCGGAGATAACAAGTGCAGAAATTACTGCTTATCAACAGGAGAAAATGGAAAAGGCTGTTGAAGAATTAATAGTTCTTCCTGCACGTTCTTTTCAAAACTCGTTTGCATCCCTTTCTTTCCTTCGGTTACTAGGGATTTTTTTTGTGTGTGTCATTTTCCAACCGTCCCTTTTGCCCTTGGAGTCTTGAAATTTATGATGAGCTCAAAGGACCCGGATATTTATATTTTATAGAGTGGAATGAACTAGTTGGCAGTGGAAATTTATGGGTGGAAAGGGATGTCTGTGGGAATAATGAAGACAAAATGAAAGAAATTGAATTTGCTGAAGATATGGTGTGGTGAGCGATTGACCTGGGCCTTGTGACAGGAGAGCCAGGCAGTAGGTGAAGATGAGAGTCATTAAGCCATGAAGTATTAATTTTAAGAATCTCTTAAGTGGCCATGAGAGTGAGAGAGTTCATTTTACCTTGTACTTGGTTCACACGTCGCTTTTAGTTCTTTTCTGACAGGAAGCGCGTCATACTAGATCAGGGGTAGGCAACCTTGGCTCTTTTATGACTCGTGGACTTCAACTCCCAGAATTTCTGAGTCAGCCATGCTGGCTCAGGAATTCTGGGAATTGAAGTCCACGAATCATAAAAGAGCCAAGGTTGCCTACCCCTGTACTAGATCTTCAGAGTTGCACATAATAGTTTGTATTTGGAAATACAGAGATGGTGACTCAATGTCAGGGCCCAAGGACCAAGAAGGACACACAGAATTTCTTCTGAACAGTTTCTCTTATTGTTCCTCACCTATACGGAGGGGCAGGGCATGTGAAAAATCTGCCTGTCTTGTTGGACCCTAAACTGAATGTGAGCCGACAAAAGATGATGGCAAAAAAGCAAAACATGTGGGCTAGGCTGCAACAACTGAAGTGCAGTGCCCAAGTCAAGAGAGGTTGTTTCTCCTCTCTATTCTCAGTTGGTTAGATTACACACAGAATACGGCCTCCATGATTTTAGGCACGCTGGCAGCGGAATTCTGGAAGTTGAAATTCACACAACATAAAGTTATTGCTGGGCTCCAGGATCACCTCAGATGGGGACTGCAGCCAAAAAATTAAAAGACGCTTGCTTCTGGGGAGGAAAGCTATGGCAAATCTAGACAGCATACTAAAAAGCAAAGACATCACCCTGCCAATAAAAGTGCGTATAGTCAAGGCCATGGTTTTCCCAGTTGCAATGTATGGCTGTGAAAGTTGGACCATAAGAAAGGCTGAGCGCCAAAGAATGGAGGCCTTTGAACTCTGGTGCTGGAGAAGACTCCTGCGAGTCCCCTGGACTGCAAGGTGATCAAACCAGTGAGTCCTAGAGGAGATCAACCCCGACTGCTCTTTAGAAGGCCAGATCCTGAAGTTGAAATTCAAATACTTTGGCCACCTAATGAGAAGGAAGGACTCACTGGAGAAGAGCCTAATGCTGGGAAAGATGGAGGGCAAGAGAAGAAGGGGACGACAGAGAACGAGGTGGCTGGATGGAGTCACTGAAGCAGGAGGCATGAGCTTAAATGGACTCCAGCAGATGGTAGAGGACAGGAAGGCCTGGAGGAACGCTGTCCATGGGGTCGCAATGGGTTGGACACGACTTCGCAATTAACAACAACAACGTTATTGAGATTGAGAAATACTGGATTAGACATGAGGGAGAATTTCTTGATATTAAGTGCTGACCATAGAAGTGAAATAGATGGCCCATGGAGCGGTTTCTTCCCCTTCACTAAAGATTTTCAACCAGGGATTGGATAGTCCTCTGTTGGGGATGCTACAGTGAGTTTTGCAGTGTTTGGGGGATTGGATTTGATGATCTCCAATCTTCCTTCCAACTCTATGATTCTGTGGTCAAATCCACAGGAGAGGAGAAAAATTCTTTATATGAAGTAGAAAGTCCCACTTAGGTGCCTCTGTTCAGAGTAAAAAGGGTTTGATAGATGAGATCTAATGTTCTGCTTGGTTCAGCTCCCCCTCTCCAGGTTGTGGAGACATCATCATCTCTGTGTCCATTTCCACACGAAGAGCTAGCATTTCCCATAATTTAATTTTCAAGCCATAATGTTCGATCCCAGAGGAAAACATGATTTGCTTTTTAACGATGATTGCTTAAAGATAAATTCCATGCACAGCCCAGGCAGGGTAACTAACTTGCTAATTGGATTAGTAAAGTTTAGATGCAAAGGACAGGCTGAGATTGAGATATTGGAGTTTAGAGGGAAGCTGATTAGTGGCAGTACTGAAGTGTTTAAAAGGAGCTCATGATTATGAGTAGATTAACTCTATGTGAGAATGTTACAGGAGCTGTACAAGGCTTGTAAGTAGTAGTTATCAAAAGGCATTTTCGGTCAGACTGCAGAATAACTGTAAAAGGTTGATAGGTAAAGTATTGGAAGCAAGTACTTAAGCTAAGACACTTAAGTTAAAGTAGAAATGTGGGAATCGACAGTTAAATTTGCAATGCATTTACATCCATGTGAGCCTGTTTAGGATCAGCCAGGGTTTCATTCCTCTTATGGGAATCAGAATCTATTAAGCTCCACAGATTACATCAGACCAGACTGACAGAAATGCGGCTTTATACAAATATTTCCACACTGCCGGTAAATGGATATCTTGTACACGGGAAAGAAGAAAACCAGCGGCTTTGCATAATATGTTAAGATATAAGGTGATTTTGATTTTGCCCAGAACAAATATAACCAGTGCTTTTTTTGTAAAAAAAAAAAAAAAGTGCCGGAACTCACACATGTTATACAACCTGCCTTGCCTACCCTACAAGGTTCCATCCCAAAAAGGTGCCGGAACTCTGTTCTGGGCGTTCTATGACAAAAAAAAAGCCCTGAATAACTGTTGCTGGATTTAAGCTGTGGTTTGTGCCTAAGTGTTGATTGTCCAGTAAATGAATTACAGTAGCTATAAAAATTGAGAAACAAAACTACTTGCAAATATAAATATGTTAATTCACAATATGAACATTTCAATTGTGGCTTAAATAAATAAATATGGAATACAGGCACTTGATTGACATCTGGTTTGTTTCTCTAGGAAGAGAAAAGCTCTTAGACCAATATAGGTTTTGCATCAAGTAGGGCCCCCATATATTTTTCTGATATATACAGTAGCACACCCTCTTACTTCATCTATATATTTTGTATTCAGATTCGTTTTGTTAAATTCTCTGGTGCGCATAGCTTTTAACCTGCCAGTTGGGACTCGGTTTTATCTCCTTAAGATGCTAACTTAGTTCTTATTATAACTGTGCTTCAGTTATGTTTTAATTATCTTTCTGTGTTTTAATCCTATAAGCTGCTTTGGTAAAAAAGCAGGATGAAAATGATAATTTTTTTTAAGTGTCAAATTCCGATGGAAAAAGCTTACTGAGGAAAAAAATGGAAGTCTGGAAATTATTAGCTGTGCCTTGTTTAAAAGTTAGGTTGAAAAGGGGCTGGTGACAAAGATCATGTTTGACAGCTTCACCTATAAGTTTGCTTTTTTAAAAAACAATTAGTCCTATTTTTGTCCTTGTGAGTGCCTGGATTTATTCAGTATAAATTAGTAAATAGTAGCCGGGTGATTGAATAACCTGAGCATCCATAAAATTTATTTAATTTATATGCCACCCATCACATTATCCAGAGTGACTGACTTACAATTACAAAAATTACAAAAATTCACAAAAAGAAGCTGATGAATTTTATGGTTTGTTTCTATTTGAGTGAACATTAAATAAAACATCTAAGGACAAAATGGAAGGATGAATTTTCTCATGATTTCAAGAGCTAATCATAGACCAACTTTTTGGTCTATAATTTAATTTAAAAAGAAAAAAACCCCTAACCCTAACCATAGCTTTTACACAGATTGACTGGGTTCACATGTTATATCACTCTGTAACCTGATTTGAGTTAGTCATTACGGCTTAGAATGTGCCAGACAAGTATAGCTTCTTTGGTTTAAACCATTACCCAATACCATTGTTTATACAGTAAAATAATAATAATAATAATAATAATAATAATAATAATAATAATAATAATAATAATAATAATAATAATAATAATAATAATAATAATGATAATGATAATGATAATGATAATAATAATAATAAAGTTGAAAGGGACGTTGGAGGTCATCAAATCCAACCCCCTGCTCAGGCAGGTAATCCTATACCATTTCGGACAAATGGCTGTCCAGTCTCTTCTTAAAAACTTCCAGTGTTGGAGCATTCACCGCTTCTGGAGGCAGGTTGTTCCACTGGTTAATTGTTCTCACTGTCAGGAAGTTTCTCTTTAGTTCTAGGTTGCTTCTCTCCTTGATCAGTTTCCATCCGTTGCTTCTTGTCCTGCCTTCAGGCGCTTTGGAAAATAGCTTGACTCCCTCTTCTTTGGGGCAGCCCCTGAGATATTGGAACACTGCTATCATGTCATTTCCATAATTTCACTGGGAAATTTGCTAATCAATTTCAGACTCTTCCCTCCCTCCCATCACCCTCTCTGCTCTTTAAATTTCCAATTCAGTTTGTCAACCAGGTTAAGAAACTGCAGAATCTCCTTAGAGGTTCATTTCTTCTTTTCTTTTCTTTTCTCTTTTGATGAGGGATTCCGAATTCTGGATCTTCAAAGGGAACAGAGGAGTAGGCAGTGGAAATTAGCAAGTTGTGTCAAGTTTTGTCTGTCTTCTTTAGAAAAAAATACGAAAGTTGGTAGCTTTTGCATGATTTCAGAGTGATTTTGTCATGGCGATTTACTTTTTTAATTATTTTTTCCAATCCCCTCCCTATGTAACCCACCTAGCTG